GCTGGTCGTTCGGAGCCGCCGTCCTCGGCTCTGGGTTTTCGTGCAGCACAGCCCGCTGGGTCGCAGGCCTCGGGGCGTGCGACGAGTGCCTTCATGGCGTTGGTGCCTGGGGCGCAGTGCGAGCAGGGCTGTGACGGTAGTGTGTTACGGTTTTTAATGCTTTTACCTGCTTTGGTAAGGGAGCTCGCTAGGTGTGGAAAAAGGTGTTTTGGTGATCTTGAAGGTCATGTAGTTCCAGCCCCCCTTCCATGGGCAGGGACACCTTCCACTAGACCAGGTTGCTCAAAGCCTCATCCAGCCTGGCCTTGAACACTTCCAGGGATGGGGCATCCACAGCTTCTCTGGGCAATCTCTAGTCGTTTCTGTATTACTCTTTAGGTGCTTGTGGTGTTGACTACATTGTGGCATACGAGCAAGTCAGGTAGCTTGGGGTATGCTTCAATTTTCTAGGTAACATCAGTAATATTTTTATTCGTGGGCATGGTTTTTTCTACGGTATTGCATATTTTCTGTGGTTTTTTTTTTCTCCCCTTTAGCAGATTAGGGAATAGAGCTGTAACTGGGAAAACAAGTCATTAGTGTGGTTAAAATTCTGCTTACGCTCAGACTAATGAAACAAGCTAGGCAGGTGATGGCTGTGTGGACAGCCTCTGTGGCAAGTAGCGGCTGAGGGAAAACCAACGGTCTAGCCTACATGCGTTTTGTTCTTGGAGGCATCACAAACCTGCTGTGTCCATGGGATGTGTCTACAGGCTAGGTTGAGTCGGATATTAAAAGACTGTGAGTAGAAATGTGCTCTGACATAGTCTTGAAAATACTTTTGTCTGTTGTCAACAGGAAGGAGAAAAAAGAAGAAGAAGCAGACAATATAATTCAAGAGAAAAGCGAACCCAGCCTGATCTGTCCCCCACCACGCAGCAGAAACTATCTTCCTCCAGAGGATATACAGTTGTGCCTCGAGTCTCATGTCAAGGAGATTTTTGGACCCTCACTTCCTGATAATTGGCAGCAGACACCCCTCAAAGAAAACAGGTTGAAGTACCGCCTCCTGGCCCAGCTGGCAGCCGAACTTGGTCACGCTGTCCCCAACTCGCAGCTGCACCTGATGCGCAGTGCGGAGGATGTGTTGAGTTTCTATAGCACTCCTGTGAAGGATGCGTCCAGATTGGATGAGCTGTGCGCCGCAGGGCTGCCCTCCAACCTCAGGATTATCTGGGAGCAGTGAGTTGCACCAGGAAGCAACGCTTCGCTTTGCTTGTCTTCCCAAGGCAGGACTGCAGAGCAGAAGCACAGCCCTTTCATCGTGGTATTGACCGAAATAAAAGCTCATTCAATTGTCTTTGTGTTTAATTGTTTCTGTTCATTAAATATGTAAAAATAGCAGTTGCTTTCCCTGTGGAACCGTGACGCGGTGTGCTCAGTAACGGTACCGCTGCATGTTTTCTGGCCCTTCGTGTGCCCACCGACCGTTAACAGGCTCCAGTGGAAACAAGCACCTCTTAACCTTTTGTCTTTTGGTTCCGAACCCTGTAACGGTCTTGTGCAAGCGGGGTTGGGTTATGTGGGGCACCCTGCTCGGCTGCGCCAAGCTACAGAAAGACGTAGAATACCTACATGTCAGTTTTTCTTCCCGTGCAACTGATGACGCAGGTTGGCTTTGTATCGGAGGAGGCAAGCAGGGAGGTCCGGCAGAGAGCGACGTAAAGACCCACAGGAGCCTGAGCCATGCCTGCTGCTGTGTGGGTGTTTTCTACCAAGCAGGTTGTTGGCAGCGAGGTGTTCTCCTCTGTGTGTGTGTGGTATTTACGGGAATGATCCAGAAGCACCCCGGATATGCCGCTCGCCCTCCTGACACCTTGCTCCCGTTTTCTTTTCGCGTACAGATACCTGAAGCGTGCCTAGGACCTGCTGCCTGTGCGTGTTACAGTGCTCACTTTCTTCGTTCAGCAAACTTCTCAAGTGCTACTTACTTTCTGTAGCTCTGAAATAATCTAAGAAACCTGTTCTTTTCCCCATTTGAGTCCTGGGGGATGACAGAATAACATTAAGTGTACATGCTGCTTGTGGGGCAAGTGCGAGGGAACTGGGGATGTTTCACTGGTCAGTGTGGGAGGCTGGGAAAAACGGCATGGCAAATAGCTAAAACTGTGTCGTCTTCTCTGCTTCAGAGGCTGTGTGGGAGCAATAAATTGGAAGTGGTTTTTTCATGAAATTATGTCTTACTTCCATCAAAGGGGAGATACGCTTCCTTGTTTCCTCCTACCTGGCACTCATCTAAAAAACCCTCTTTTACCGCTATTTGCACTTTCTGCTCATCCCCCCTTCTGTGTCTCTGCCAGTACATAACTTCCATGGCTCATGTCGTGTGATCAGAAGAGAGCACGAAGAACAGGACACCAAAAAATTGGAGGACGGGCAAGAAAAGAGCATGGCTGCAGCCTCACCTTGCGTTTTGCTGTGTCTGGGTTGCGCCAAACTGAGACTTCCCTGACCTCAGATACTTCAGTCCTGCTGGGTGCCAACCCCTGGCTTCCCTCAGCACAGGTGGGTGCGAGGCTGCAGGGGCCGACCTACACGGTAAGAAGGTCAAAGGCACCCGAGGTGCAAAACTGCTCGTACCAAGCCGAAAAAGCAGAAGTCTGAAATGAGATGGAGGTGTTGCACAGAACACCTCTGCCGCCGAAGGGCCGCTGGGCGCTAAACCACATTTTTTGATCCTTGGGCTTTCAAAAGTACCTAATTTCTATTGAGTTAAATTACAACTAAACAAATGAAAGCCCTACCCATGCGTCTGCAGGACAGCTGGTCCCCATTTCTTTTGGGCAGAACCAGTAGAGAAGATCAAACGGAGGCATGAAGAAGTGGGGTTAGGAGGGTGCTTCTTCCCAGTCTGGAGGCAGGACTGGGTGGACTGGTGTCTCCACGCGCGGGAGAAAGCGGCGGGGTGCTGTGGAGAGGCTCCAGCAGGCCTACAACAAGCTGAGAGCGGCTGTCGCACACTGTCCCACCTGCCAGGCTGTGGGGGAGTCAGCCCCTGCAAGTCGGGGCGAGGATGCGCGTGCTGTTTCTACGCACACCCGTTTCAGTGGGATGTGCTGGTCTTCGCCCAGGTACCTGGTTAAGGCAGGGGCATGTGATCCTAATCCCAGGAGTCACGTCGGGAGGAGCAAGAACAACAGCTCTGCAGGGGACCCACTTTCCTGTCAGGTGGGATTTGGCTGGGGGGGCAGAGAAAGGTCACGGCCATCCAGCTGGATGACCGCCCCAAGCAGGAGGGTGTCAGACACTGCTGCCAGTTGTTTTACATGGACCAGGTTCATTCCTGCAGCGCATGGAACTGCTCACAGCCCTCGGGCCACACGTCCACCCTGATGGATGATCCGACTAAGCTAGCTGCTGCAGCGTGTTGATGCCGCTGGTCGCGAGGCTGGAGTAGGGAAGCTGCTGTTAACCTGCCTAAGCTCACAGGTCATGATGTGCCTCAGAGCAGGAACTAAAAAAAACCCCAAAATCCAAAGGCTATCTAAAAAATGATTTTTCCTTGGTCACAGATTCCAGGAGGTGGACACACATTGCTTCTGGAGGGAAAGGTACCTGGGAAAACCACACGGGCTGTTAGGTTTAGATTTCCTCTGCAGCTGGAAAGGGCTGAGGGTACTGTAAATCTGGAGCAGCAGCAAACCCCTAGAGCTAGCCAAGAGGGAATGCAGTGAACCTGTGTGATAGGTCTAGCTTCACGTAACCACGCACCCAGAACTTAGGCACTTGCAGACAAGCACGCACAGCCCCGTGGATCCTCTCCTGGGTGTAGGCATCCCTATGTACCGTGCTGGAGAAGAGAGCAGGGCTCACTTGCTGATTTCAAAGTGGAGAGATGCCTCTGATCATGCTGCACTACAACTGGAAGGATAAAGCAGTCCTTCTGGAAGTGGAAAATCGAGATTCAAATCCTTCTTCAACCTGGTGGATAGGGAAGAAACTCATCTTCCACCTTCAGAAAGACTGCTTGTGCCATCGTGCTGGAGGATAAGCAGTGGGGCACAATATCGCTACCAATTCTGTGGAAGCTAAAGAACACAACCCTGGGGCCCATAGCTGCAGAGAGGAGGGTACAGAACATAGAGTTTTTATGTTAGAATTCAGCTCCCCTGCCAACCCTTTAAAGCAGTGTGAGTGGGCTCAGGTGCTGCTGACTCGGCGTACTGAATGGAGTATCCACTGCTCTCCTAACACGTCATTATTCTAACAGCAGAACAAGTGCCAGTTCCACGGCCAAGCTGATTCAGCTGGAATCTTCCCTGTGGGATCTGGAGCAAAGTAGCAGGGTGGGACCTAGAACGCTACCGATGGTTCCTTCTGGTCACAGAACACCTGCATAGCCCAAGTCTGATCCCTGTATTCCTAAGACACAGCAGACCCGAGAGTCAGAAGAAAATACCAACCTGGAGGAAACACTGCAAGATCAGACACAAACAGGCATCCCAGATTTTCTTTGTGCCACAGGCAAATGACAGAGGCCAGGATACACTTTGTGTGTTTGGGGTTTTTTTTATAATTTTTTTTTTTTTTTGCATCTGTTTTGGAAAAAATATACAAAAAAAGCCAAGAAGAACCAACATGGAAATGTGAGGTAAACATTCCAGTGAAAGTACAGACAGAGGCTCCATTCTTTAAAGGAGACACACAGCAGTTATCACCATGCTAGAAGAATGAGATGCAGAAAAATCCTAGAAACAGTGAAAAGTCATGTAATGAAGCCTTTACCCCAGTTCTAGCTATTATAAATGAGCTATTTTTTGTTCTTCTCCCCCACCCCCCGCCCCCCACTTAATTATTTCTTTTTCCTTACACAAAGTTGTTAAATTGTAAAATAGCAGTTTTGGTATAAATTCTGTATGGCAGAATTTACAAAAATGCAGACTGCTACTACAGATGTGTCAGTTTGGTTGTTTTTTGACTTGCCGAAGCCCCTCCGTGAAAACTACGCTCAGGGCAAAACGAGATTCCCGGTTACGGCAGCCTGAACACCAAGGAATGCCCCTCCACTGATGAAGTGGTGTCGCCTTCCCTTTGCACCAGCGTTACTAGTTACCCCACAAATCTATGATGAAGTGATGAAACACTTAAAGCGCAGCCTCAGCTCCACAGTGGTGGCTGTATATCCCCATAGTCAATTCCTGAAGCCAGGTTTCACTGGGAGCTTTAGCCGGGCCTCAGGGAGGAACGGAGCTCTAGGGAGATGATATAGTCAGCTCACATGCGATCAGCTACTACTATATATTTTCATGTCCAGCCTGCCTATACTGCAGACTATCTTGTTTTAGTTATTCTTCAATAACTAGCACAATCACCCACACTAGAACAATCAGGCTTTGATTCAGTAAGGTGCTTAAGGACACCAAGTCTGCCACATAGTCTGGAAATCAGATGGCTGACTGAAGTCCCAAATGCTAAGGAATGCTTAGGTGGCTCACTGAATCAAGGATGGATGCTTATTACTTGTTGATAGGATCGTTTGGGTTAGAGTCCTGATCACCACTGTTTTAATCTGAATTAAATATATGCAGTTACTTCAGATCTATGCTGAGCTCACTCAGATCAGAATCTGACCCACTAGTAGAAGCACTTCTTATGGTAAGAAAAGGTAAAAGTGTTGTGGGTTTTTTTTCCCCCCCCAAGAGATATAAATTCAAAAATGAAAAAGAAATTTGTGTACAAATATCACATAACAACATCAACAATTCCATAGATGTAGTTCCTCAGTGCACACTTTAAACAAGAAAAGTTTTTTTTTTGTTCTTTTTCCATTTTGCTTTTAAATTCTGGCATAATAATATTAAAGCTGACAAAAAATCAGGGCAAGCTACATCACTTCCTCATACAAAAAAAGTACAAAACATTAGCCTCTAACTAGACATAACATAATACTGGTCATCACAGTTAGACGTTTATTAACTGTGTGTCTTGGAGTATTGTACTGGAGGGTCATAAAAAATAGCTTCTGTTGCCAATCTTCCATCTCAGGTTACTTCAGTCATAGAGGCAGAGTGATTCTGGGAAGAGGAAAAGGCAGACACGTGAACATTTGTACACATTTTGGCATTTACCTATCCTAGCATGCAAAACGAACGAGAGAAACCTTTGCTAACAGAATCTGTTGCCCAGCTCGTGT